ATCAATATATAAAACCAGCCAGATATGGTGGCACATGGATGTAATCCTAGCACTTTGGAGACTGACTCAGGAAGTTCATGAATTTGAGGACAATCTGGATTACACATCACACTGTCACAAAAATTTTAAAAGGCAACAGTTATTGCTATATAATTAAACCAGAAACTAAGAAAGCAATTCCATTTATAGTAACATCAAAAAGAACGCTTTGGAATAAACAAAAATGAAAAATCTATACTCTGAATTTCTTGCAGAATATGGCTAAAAGAAATAAAGACCTTAAAAAAAGGGAAACAGCCTCATGTCAGGGGCTGGAAGACATAATATTGTGAAATGGTTATACTCTCCAAGCTCAGATGCAGACCAATGGCACTTAAAAAAATAATTCCAGTGGTGCAAGCCTGTAATCCCAGGTGGAAGGAGGGAGCCCACTGCATAGCAAGACCCTGTCTCAAAACAAAAACAGAACTCCAAATCCCATTCAGCTTTAAAATTTCATCCTAAAATGCATATGTACATGAAGAGAACTAAGAAAAGCCAAAACCATCTCCAACAGAAAGTTAGAGGACTCATACTTTCCAAATCCAAACTCACTACATTCCAGTAAATACAACCGTTCACCTAAGATGTGCACTGGGTAGTGGATGAGACATCAGAAATAGGCCCTTAAATAATGTTCTTTAATAAGCAACAGTAAAAACAAAGGAAAAGACCATTCTACAATACAAACATCAGAAACAGGCCCTTAAATAATGTTCTTTAATAAGCAACAATAAAAACAAAGGAAAAGACCATTCTACAATACAAACATCAGAAATAGACCCTTAAATAATGTTCTTTAATAAGCAACAGTAAAAACAAAGGAAAAGACCATTCTACAACACAAAGCTCCAATTTGATAACACAGATATAAAGTCTGAATAGAAGTCAGGCACAGTGACACACACCTTCAATTCCAGCATTCAAAAGGCAGAGGCAGGGGGACCTCTGTGAGATGGAGGCCAGTCTGCTCTACATAGCAAGTTCCAGGCCAGCTGGGGCTACAGGGAGACCCTGTCTCAAAAAAGAAAAAAAAGTTTGAATAGATAATTTTCCAAAGATGATTAATCACCATTAATCAAATTTAAATCACAATCACATTACTTCAGACTCACTATAGTGACTATCACAGATCCAAGCGTTGGTACCACGTGGTGAAACGGGAACACACGTCTCTGTACAAATTGTGTATACGGTCTGCATAGGTTTGACAATTCCTGTTTGAGCCTGGAGAGAGGCTCAGTAGTTAAGAGCCAGCACTACTCTTGCAGAAGACCTGAGTTCTCAGCATCCATGCTCACAGCCACCTGCAACCTCAGCTCCAGGGCATCCTCTTCCGGACCACAAGGGCATCTGCACTCGAGTGCACGTAGGCAGAGATACACATATACACCTTGGTTTTTTTTTTTTTTTTTTTAAAGCCTTACTGCCTACTGAAAACCTCAGCAACCAATCACATTAACCTGAATTTATGAAGACTTCCTACACCAATGTCATTCTGTTCAAAACTACTTGTGCAACTAGCAATGCTAATCAAAACTGCTAAAAACAAGGTACCTCGTCCCATTGTTCCCCTTTAAAAACCCAATCCCTTCCCTTGAAGCAGCCTGTATTTGATTTGTAACTGTCTCCCAACTTATACGTTTAATTTTGTATGAAAATAACTTTTTTCTCTAGCGTCCTTTGTGGTATCTTGGTCTAAGACTGGCTAAGAACCCAATGCAGAAGACAGCAGAGCTCAGAGTGTACAAGTCTTTAAGTGTTTGTTTGGGTTTTTATTTCAAGTATTTATTTTTATTCTATGCGTAGGAGTGTTTTGCCTACATGCATGTATGTGTACTACATGTATATACAGTGCCCTAAGAGGCCAGAAGAGGGTGGTAGATATCCTAGAACCTGAGTTTCAAAAGGTTGTGAGTTCCCATATAGATGACAGAAACCAAACCAAACCCGGGTTCTAAGAGCCAGTGCTCTTAACTGCTGAGCCATCTCTTCATTCCCATTTGGGGGTTTTTTTGAGACAAGGTCTCGTATGAAGCCCTGGCTAGCCTTGAACTCAAAGAGCTCTGTCTGCCTCTGCCTTACACCTGCTGGGATTAAAAGGCATGTGCCAACCTAGCCAAATCTATAAAGCTTCCAGATTCAGAATCCAGACTGGTCCAAACCAGAAGGGTAAGGGATATAAACTTTAAATATGTAATTAATCAATTTTCATCAGGGCTTTCAAAATTCCTGCTAGTTCCGGCCTCTACTTCCCTAGACCTTGGATTACAGGCCCGCACCACTGCCTTCTGTTTATTACGCAGGGCTTCCTGCACTGCTGGTGTTACAGGAATCACAGTTGTTAGAACAGGTATCAGAAACTGAGTAGAGAATCATGAGATTTATTTGTGTTGACTCAGACCCAGGTGAGTCTCCAAAGCTTGAGGCCAGAACAGCAGTTTCAGGCAATCCAGCTGGATCCCAGCCCTGTTTATTTCTTCAAAGAAACTGTATTGTCTAATTAAAGTGGGTTTTTTCTAGAGAGGGGGGTAGTGGTAAGTCTCCATCCTCCTTCCTCTGCTTCCCAAGTGTTGGTATTATCAAGTACCGCCATACCTGGTTTCTATTTCACTTTTAACACACTACAATTTTAATCACAAAACTTTTATATTTACAAAAGGTCTTGTAATTTGATAATCCCAAGGGAACCTCAAGTTACTGTCATTAAATTCTTGTGCTTATACTTATGAGCAAAAAATATATAATTTTAATCTCACTTGAGACAAGTACCTCACTAGGACAGCTCCAACAGCACTCTTTACATGTTCATTTCACATACTATGAATTTAAACATTCCATAGCTGCCTCCCAACAAAACACTTAGAATTCTTCAAGGTCTTATGATAAAGCACCTTCTTGACCATAGCTATGCCATGTTGAAGTCTAGGTTGAATCTAGCCTCTGAAACTAGAAGGCAGTTGGCCTAGGGTGTGGGAACACGTCAGCAGGCCCCTGGTTGCCTTGAGAACAGCTCAGCATGTGCCTAGTTGTTCCTGCTAACTGCAGATTTATGGCTTCTATGTTTTTCACTTGGCTTGCTATTACAGAATAGTAATTGTTGTCGTACAGACCAGAAATTGTTAGGGGGGCTTTCCACCTTTCCACCCCTAAGCTTGGGAACTTAAACTTTTCACCCCTGGATGTAGTTTTTCTGTTTAAAAGCTTACCCTAAAGATGGCCTGGGACTGCACTTGGGGTCCAAATGTCCAGTGTAGTTGCCAGCTGGCTAAAAATCATAAAAAGACTTTCTTTTGGCATTTTTTTCCATGTCTTTGTAGTCTTCTCTGGTGAGATATCATCACAACAGTCTTATATCATTTCTGTGGCCATAGTGGGTAAACTGTTCTCTATCTCCAAACTGAAGGCTAAGGTCTGTTTTACACAGTGGACTAGCCTCAAATGTAAGAGGGAAGAGTGTTAAGACAAGCAAAGAGTCTCTAAATTCACTTTAAAATAGCTTAACAAGGTTACAACAATTCCCTAAACATTCAGGTTCCTAACACCCAAGGCACTGATCAAACACAAAAGGAGGATCAAATCAGATAAGTAACAGGAAGAACAGAGCTTTGAGGCAAGATTGCTCTCCACAAGGAATTCAGAGACAGTTTTAAGTTCAAACAAGCCCCAGGCAGGCAGGGGGAGTCTATAATCCCAGCAGGTAGAGGCAGGAGAATTAGGAGTTCAAGGTCTTCCTCAGCTATACAGCAAGTTCAAAACCAGTCTACAAGAGTTCAAAAAACAAAAGTTGTTGGGAGCCTGAGGCTCAGCCATTTTTTAAAACTGCTGAACAGACCTAAGCTGGTAACTTTTCATTTTGTCCACTCTCCTCCCGCGGGCACGGGATGGAGCCCGCAGCCTTGGCCCACGGCCTTGTACTCTTTTTCAGTAAACTTCCCTGTTTTCTGTTAATCAGTAGATTCCTCCCTTAGAGTACATCTGGGCCCCTGTGGTCTATGTGATATGATTACTCTCAATCTGTACTCCTTTGTTCTCATTTTTTATTTAACCTCATGTCTGTACTGCAATAAATGAGACTTGATCAGAACCCTGTCTTGTCTCCATTTCTTGTGTCTCTTGCCCCATCCAATCCCCACTCCCCACTCTAGGTACCCCGTTGTAGATCCCGCGGGCCGGGACAAAAAGTGACTGGAATTCTCTAACATAAAAAGAACATAGTGATGGGTTTAATGAACATGAAGTTTGTGAATTTATTTTGAATTTAAGTTAGCAAACTGAATTGCCTATGAGACGGTGTTAAAATATCTAAGGCTATAAAATATACTTCTATCAGGACAAAACCTATCTATTAAGCACTTACCATGTGCCAGGAGCTATTTTAAGAGTTCTAAGTATGAAACTTATAAGTTATTCCATAAGGCAGGCACTGCTGCTATCCCATTTTACAGATGAGGAAACTGAAACAGAGACCTTAATTCTACTGGATATTAGTGAGTGATGGAGCGAAATGGGGGCATCAAGCCTGAACCCAAGCATTGTGACTACAGGGATCCACCAGCAGGTTTCCTAACAAGCTTTGTGTTCATGAAATGGAACCTCAAGAGAGATCACGCAGAAAATAACAGTTCTTAAAGAATGGTGTTACACTCTCACCTACCCAAGTGTCCAAAATAATAGTAAGTAAAAATAAGAGCTAGCCTCTGCCTCAGTTATCTGTAACTCACCACATCACATAGACCATCTTTTCCTAGGCATGAGTGTAGCTAAGCATTAAAGAACTCACCCCACACTGCCAAAATATAAAACCTCTCCCCTATTTTGCTAAGGCAAAATTCTCAGTACCATGCCAATAACACTATTTCTTCTCAAATGAGGTCATAAAACCCATTGTGTCCCACAGATTCTGTAGGTCACTCCACAGTAAAGTGAAGAGTCACCTGGTCAAATCAGGGTAGACTCACCTTTAAATACGATTTTATGTTTTAACAATTGTTCATTTCTCTCCAATCATATCAGTGACATCCACAAGGAGTGTGTTCACTTCTTTGATTCTAGAAAGGGAAACATTTTTAGAATTAAGAAAAAGTGCATGGGCATGCAAAATTGTCTTCCTTAAAGCAGCACCGAAACATACTAAGTTTACCAAATTTTTACTAAATGTACTAAAAATAAAACTATTAAGCTAGACCTGATCTCAAAAGATTCCCTTTCGTTAGAATTCAAGATCCTCCTGTAAAGGATAGTTGTAGTCAGCAAGGAACCAAACACCACTGCCAAAGTTGAGAACTCCCAGAGGCGCTAACCTCTACCCTCTGGGCTGCGCCCTACTTAATTTCTTAATTTTATGTTCCCTCCCCTCATTTTTTTTTTTAAAAGTCTTTGTGAGACAGGTTCTCTCTGTAGCCCCAGCTGGCCCAGAACTCACTATATACACCAGGCAGCCTTGAATTGAAGGATCCCCCTGACTCTGCCTCCTGAGAGGTGGGATTAAAGGCGTGGACCACCATGCCACGCCTCTCTTCATTTCTTAGGTGCCACAACGTTGGTGAATTTAAATTACAATCTACAGTGATTACCAGCAGGGATGCTTACTTGTCCTAAGACCACCAAGGAGAAACTCCTGTAGGTAAGTGATCAGGCAAGTTTGCAGAAGCAAATATTGAGTGCAGAGGTTAAAGACTCTTTAGCAGAATTTATTGCCGGGACCTTAGCAAGGTAATTGCAAACAGATGCTCCACTAGGTAACTGTAGTATTCATTTCTCAAGGTAGCTTTGAGGGGGCTGTGGAGGTAGTTAAGTGGTTGGGAGAACTGGCTGATCCGGCAGAAGCCTCAAGTTCAGTTCCCAACACCCACAGTTCACACCTGTCCCTAAGTCCAGTTCCAAAGGAGTAGACGACCTCTTCTGGCCTCTGCCAGCGCTGCACACACAGGTGCACTTACATACATGCAGGCAAACACTTGCTACAGAAAAAGAAAAAAAGATGGCTTTGAGGTCTTTTTTGTTCTTTTAGTTTTAGAGTAGGCTTTTACCACAAATTTTCAGTAAATAGTCATAAAACCACTATAAGGTGAGCACTGTGTTCTAAGGTATCAATTCAATCAAAACACCATTATGCAGACAAAAAAGTAACATTAAATGCATGGGTATATTTCTTTTCCTCTCCATTCCGAGTTAAATCCACCAGTCTTACCATTGCAAAGCAAAAATACTCTGTGAGCAATTTTCTTTATTGCTATGAGAACCCAGCTGGGTTGGAGGGGATCAGTAACGAAGACCTTTAACAAACTTGCATATTAACAAGGAACAAAACTTAACATTTCCCGCGATCGCAGCATTCAGCAATTTAAATCCCCACGCGAGCTCTGCAACCGGCCTATTAGAACGCACGCCAAGCTCCCACAGTTAACCTGCTTTCCCATTTTCCAGGAACGCTCTCCGAGTGCTGCAACGTAAATTGCTTTGGAGATGCTCCGGGGAAAGGGCGCACCAAGGCCTGGGCGCTTAGGGCGGGTCGTGTGGGGGCGGAGGGTTCCGAAAAAACCCGCAGAGCAAAACAAAGCTTCTCCTTCCGCGAAGGGAGGAACGCGAGCAGTCGCCTGACACTCACCTCCGTAGGCCGGCGAACCACCGCGCGCACGCCGCGCCCCAGCGGTCAGCAAAGACGCAGGCGGCGCCCGGCGGCCAGGGCGGGCCGGATGGGCAGGACGGGCGACCGGAGCCCAGGGAGCAGGGGCGGCCCCGGAGCCCCGCGGCCGAGGAGCCGGGGCGGGGCGGCGGGGACCGAGGCCGAGCTCCCGGGCCGCGCACACAACAAAAGCCAGCGCCTGGGGACCCCGCGCACCCCGCAGGCGCAGCGCGTCGGCCAGACTCTCTCACCGTTGCGAAGGCCTCGCTGCTGCACTGGCCGACGAGCTTTAGTGGCGTCGTCCGGGCGGGGCGGGCTCCCGCTCCGCGCTCCGCCCCACAGGCGCGCCGCCGCTCTCGCGGTCCTAGTGCCGGGCAGATGCGCCTTCCTGGGACCGCAGCCGGCTTCCCCACCTGGAATTTGCATCTGAATCACCTGGAGGGCTTCTTGAGTTAAAAAGCAGCAGCAGGCTGGCAGCAAAATCCGGGACTCCGCCTAGGTGGGGCTGCACCTTTGCGTTTCAGCCAAGTTGCAATTCTGTGAAGAGAAACCGCTGCTGGTCTCAGAGCAATGATCTGGGCAATGAATGGCAATATCTATAAAGTACGAGGAAGAAAGTGCACCCTGAAGTTCCGTAGAGGATGAGTGTATTTTTGTTTTGTCTGTTAGGATGCTGAGGCAGAGGGAATCCTTCAAAGAAAAGAAAAATGTAGGATCTTTATCGGAGGAAGTAGTGGAATCTTGCCTAAGGAATGTGTCTCGAATTGAACTGAGGATCACAGAAAGACAATCAGTTGTTTCTTTCTAATGCACCGTTTATTGTTCACACATGAAAACGAGGAACAGGCTGGAGAGATGGCTTAGTGGTTAAGAGTGTCACGGCGTTTGGGACCACCAGGGAGACCAGAGACTCAATTTAGGTCAAATTAGCCAAATTAATAAATAAAGCTGTGTTACGGAGTTCGCGAGCACCCGGAAAAGACCAGCAGACCCAATTCAAATTTTAATTAGCTAAGGAGAGAAGGGAACCAGCTTATAAAGGTGAAAAACCACAAGAATTTCTGCACACATGGGGGTAATAACACGGTGGTCCTGGGTAAGGCCAGGGCTCCCCTAAGTCAGCAGGATAAGCAAGTTACAGAAGCCAAAATGAGTAGTCATACCACAGCATTCTTTAACTTTGTAGCAAGCAGATGGGATGCAGCTACATATTTCTGGGAAAAGGGGAAGGGGCTTTTGGAATCATTGCTATTTCAGCATACTTGTTAACAAAAACAGAATATCGCTGGGCGTGGTGGTACACGCCTTTAGTCCCAGCACTAGAGGCAGGCAGACCTCTGTGAATTCAAGGCCAGCCTCTTCGACATAGTGAGTTCCAGGACATCTGGGGTTACAGGGAGACCCTGTCTCAAAAACACCAAAAAAAAAAAAAAAAAAAAAAACAAGGTGGCAACATTCTTCTCTGTGGTCCGCTATTTTTTAAAAGGAAAACATCCTTCTAAGGTGGAAGTAACTTACTAGAAATAAGGTCAGACCTTGAGCTGGTTTCTAAGTTCTAAGGTCAACTTAGAAAAGGCTACTTTGTACAAAGTAGAAAGGGCTACTTTGTACAAAATGGAGTGCTCTAGTCATTACATTGCCGGCTGGTTCTGGATCATGTGAATCAAATCATCAATTCACATTGGACTGCACATTGGTACTGTGGTCGCAAGGCTAATACTTTAATGGAGCTAATTTTTTCTCTGTTGTACGATAGCATCCGATTTATTATGCAAGAACCTACAGAGACGCCAATGAGCAATAGAAGGAGGGTCCTGCTATGGTGGTTAGAAAGATGGTAAGCCATGGGGACCAGGAGAAAAGATTAAAAGATTTACCAGTTGAAAGATTCAATCCATTCCTTAGCCCTTTGATCTAATTCTGTTGGACCAAGTTCAGGATCTCTCCTATAACTCCTGAATTGTTAGCATAGAAACAACATTTTTCTTTTAGGGCTGCACATAGACCTCCTTCCTTCAGGAATACAAAGTGGTTTTACAAAACCATTTCTGCTAGGGGATCTACCTGTTTCTCAAGCTGTCCTATAGTGTCTTTGAGGTGTATATCTCGATCTACTTTTTTACTCAAAGTCTTGAAATTTTTGTCTCTAATAGCTAGTGCTGATGCTCCCAAAGCAGCAGAGCCTATGATCCTGGTCCCCATAAGAAGGATGAGGACAGCTGAGATTGCTACTCTCTTTTTTTAAATAAGGTCTCCATGTATTTTCTGCCTTCTCCAGTACAGATGTATACCTGGGGTATGACATAGACTAGAAGACAAAGGCTACTCCTCCCTGGGCGCTAGTTCCAGATGTTCAGCTGTTACACATCTGGCTAGGCCAAAGGTAGTGTTGTAGTCTATGATCTGCAAATGCCTCAAACAGACAGACAGGTAAGTCTAGAGAAGGAAAGAGATTTATTTCAGGTGTGCTACACTCTTTCCTAAAGAGTCCAAGAATAGCACTGAGCCTAAGCACTCTGGCTCTTTTATATTGATCACAAAGTTCCCGGGGGGGGGGTTGTTGTATAGTAATAGTATCCTAGAAATAAAGTTTCCCTAAGTCTTCCAACCAGAAAAGGGTCTGTTAGCAACAATCACTATTTTGCAGAAGCAAGCCAAGCATAACCTACAGAAGCCATAAATCAGTAGTTAGCAGGAGCACTCTAAGACACTCTGACCTGTTCCCAAGACAACCAGGGCCCAGCTGGCATTCTCATACCCTGGGCTAACTGCCTGATAATTTCAGAAACTAGAGTCAACCTAAAGTTTAACACGGTGTAGCTATGGTCCAAAAGGTGCACTCTTACAGTAGAAGCCTACCAGGTCCCTGGTGGGCCAGAAAATACACTCTTGAACTTTTAGATTTAAGGGTACACATAGGGATGCTGCAGGATTGGTCATAGGGAGAGGCTGAGAGGTCATGGGAAGAGGAGGTTCAGCAAGTACATGCTCCTTGGAGGTCCTCTAGGGTGAGTTTAGGTTCCTCTAGTCCACTATTTGCATTTGCTGATGGGGTAGTAGCTGGGGTGATAGATGGGTTAACCCCTATCCCCACATAAAAGGGAGGCATAGGGTGTAGGCATAACCAACAGCCATTCCCTACACTGGGGAGGGTTTGGTTTATCCAACTATGTACTAATCTTTGTGTCTTCATTTCGGGGAGTTTATTTGAAGTGGTGGAGGGGGGAATTACCTGGATTTGACCAGGATGATGAACCTGTGGAGTTATCATTTGCCATGTAGGGTTGGTTTTCTGAGGTGAATAGATAACCTTGGTTGGGGTAGAGGCTGGGACCTGTTTCCTCATTACTAATTGGGCCTCTCTGGGAGTAGGGCTAATTGGTTGTTTCTTCTGCTTTGGTTGGGGCAGCCAATTGCTCCCTGAGCTTGTGGGTTTTATCTGATTTGGTGGGGCTTTTCTCTGGATTGCAATTTTTTCTATTTCCTCATCCCAGTAAATTTTGAATTTTAGCACCCTGCCCCCGGCCAGCGGGGTCTTCAACGTGGACCTGAGGAGAGAACCGACGAATGTAAGGACAAGAGACATGAGAAATGAGAGCAAGACAAGTGGTCTGATCAAGCTCTGAAATTTTTATTTTTCTGTTTGCTATATAACAAGTAAAAGGAGGAAGCAAAGCTAGGAGGGGGGAAT